GCATGGACTGGATTTCCTCACAAGCTCTTACTTCCAGGAACCTTTGTGTTGTGTTTTCATTTGGCCCTGGCTCATTGTTGTATTCAGGAACTCCCTCTTGTGTTTTCTCACATGTTGGAGAATTTAGCTCCTGTGACACAACAAGCCGACCTTCACATATCCCCACGGGAATATTTTTAAACTCTCCGCTTGTTTCCTGTCCAGTCTCGCCTTCAGGTTTTACTCTAACTGAGGTGGCTGTACATACCACTTCCAAGTAACTTTCTTTGTTGCTTACTTCACTGGAGAGGCTCTCCTCTTCTACTTTATCAAAACATGCTGCTACAGAAATGTCTGTTGTTGTCGCATCAAACTTTACATCGACCACTTTGCTATGGCTTTCTGTTTCAACATCATCTGTTTCTCTTATTTTGGTTTGCACTTCAGTGTCCTTAGCCACATCCTCTTGCTCTCCATGTGTGAATATAGCTGCGTGCAGCTCTGTTTGAGCATTCTGTACAACTTCTTTGGTGCATGTAACATTTCCAGTTGAAATGTCTTCTTCTTGACTATTTTCTGTAACTGATTTGATGTCATCTTCCTGCTCCTGCACTTCATCTATTGTCTGGCTGTTTGCAGCATCATTCACATTTTCTTCCTCAATGACAGGACCCTCCACCCTCTCATCCAATGTGCTTGCATCCTCCTTCTCTTTCATATCCTCAACTTCATCACTTTCACTTCTATGAACCATCACATGCTCTTGTCCAACAACAATTAACTCATCTTCAGAAACAATGCCACTTTTGTCGTATGCCATTTGTAATTCAACATGCTGTGTAGTGAAGCTTGGGTCTCCCTTGTAATCTCTGTTGTCATCTAACAAGAGTTCACAGACTGACAGCTGATTTTCAACTTTTTTTGCTCCCTCATCAGACTTGTTTTCATTTTCGGAGGCCAGCAGTAACTCATTGTTTTCTATGTCCTCATTTGTCGCTGCTCTATCTGTCTCATCCCTCTGCGCCATTGCCTCTTCTATGTGGATGTTATCCTCCTCTTCTAGACTCAAATCTGTGATCGTGCACAATTGTACTTCAATGTCTTCTGCCTCCAAATCTTGACCCTCCTCATGGTACATTTTATTGTCTTCTTCCGTTACTTGGATCTTTGTCAGGGTTTCATCCATTTTTTGATCATCTGGTGTCAGTGACCTCTCAGTCTCCTCCTGAGCACCAGCATTATTTCCAGTTTCCTCCAAGTCTTCACTCATTGCATCACCCGTAAGTAGTGACCTGGTGTTCACATAATCTTCGGACTCCTCATTTTTCGGTGTCTCATCTTGTTCGTGCGCGTACAATTTCCGAACTCCTTCTTTTTGTTCGTCTTCTTTTGCATTAGCGACAGGCAGCCCTGCATAATCATTTCCTGTTTGGGCAAACTGTTCCTCTCTAGTGCCCTCACCTTCCTCAGATGCTTTGCCCTCACTGCCTCTGCTCAGCTGGGTTTTGTACTGCATGCTTTCATCATCAGACCCTAAGTCGATGTCTGTGGTGCAAAGTTCCCAGGCAACAACGGGCCGAGATGAGCTAAGCACAGAGACTGTCGCAAAAGACTGTTCCTCATTGACTTCTCTTGCGCTAGCTTCACCCTCTGCATGGCCACAGTTTGCAGGCTCACTGTCAACTGCAGAATCCTGGAGGGATGTCGGCTCATTGCTAACAAGGTCAGTGGGCTCTGGTCTGAGGAGTCTGTTCACAGCTCCGGTTATATAGTACTGAGAAAAAGATAAGGAGAAAGAAAGGGAGACTTTTGACTTATTTATGTTAGTGATTGTTTTGTGTATGTTCTCATTTCTTTTATGTTTTTACCTTTATTACTTATTATTGTTTTTTTTTTTATATATAAACTATTATACTTGGCCAAATATGGACACCCTGTTTATATGCCGCCCTATGCTTTTGGTCTGGGGCTGTTTTTTCAATGGTTTGGTCCCTTTGTTCCAGTGAAAGGGGAATCTTAATGTTACATTAAGTATGCAATTCAAGTATACAATACAAGGCTATTTACAGGGCACTTCCAGCTTTGCACCACTTTGGGGAAAGCCCTTTCCTGTTACAACACAACAATGCTCCCATACACAAAGCGAGGTCCATAAATGGTTTTCTCAGATCTTTACAGGCCTGCACAGATCCCTAACCTCAACCCCATCCAACACCTCTGGGTTGAATAGGCCACCTGGGGGCAGTGAAATAACCTGTAAATAACCTGTAAAACCAAAACACTGAGCAGCAAAATGCTAAAACGGCCTGTAAAAGCTCATGAGAACGGCAAAGTTGGGTAATAATGATCATATTTCATTAAACGTTTAGTCAAAAAACATTCATTAGAGCAGCTTTAAGCATCCAAGGAAGTCTTACAAGTGAGCTAGACTGCAATAACAGCAGGGGCATAAAACTAAAAACCACATGCAATACAGCCAAGGTTATTGCTGCGAGCCAGACCTTATCGTCCAACCTCAGTACTAAACCACATTAATGCTCTTGTGGTTGAAAAAAAAGTCAGTAACATTTTATTTTAAGTGTCTACAAATTCCTCATCATTTGTGTTAAATTGCTAAACCACCAAATAATCCATTCTCAAAGAAAGCTATAGCTGAACTTTTTAAATCGTCTGCTGAACATGCAAAAATGTGTAATTCGTCTGCAGTTTGCAAATCAACATATATGAAAAATAAATTAAATTAAACTAAACCAATTAAACTAAAGTAGTCTTAGAATTAGTGCCAAATTACAGAGAAATCATTAGAAAATTATGAGGAAATAATAGACGTCTGCGTATGAGACAGAGAGCAAGGAACTCAAACACACAAAAACAACAGACAAGGGGGGTGGGTGGGGGAGAGAGATATTCATATAGCTGAGAGAGAGAGAGAGAGAGAAGCACGGACACCGGAAGGGAGAGACTCTACATCCACATTTCACTGCCTCTAACATTAACAATTAAAGCAGATATTTCATGACATGTTTGGTTTTGGATGATGCAGCGGCTCACCCAAACTGTCCAGAAAGTCCTCTCCACCCTGGAAGTGGGAATGTCGTTGTCCATCTTCAAACGTCGTCCCCTCTGACTCTCTGACCATCAGACTTTAATTCCCTCTGGATGTGATGACAAATCAACCCTAACCTGTCTGTTTAATCAGCCTAACCGAGATTATTAAGAAAACTCAACAGCAAGCTCCATCCAAACGGTCTGAACACCTCCGCTGATAGTTCAGGTTCAGTTCCTTACACTGAGATATGTCCGGTGTATCATAATGAGGAAGAGGCTGATTAACACAGCTGAGTCGCCGCTGCTTCGACTCTACGTGTTGCACAGTTTGCGGATGTGCGCAGAGCATCGAGCCAGGCCACATAGTGTGTGTGATGGTTTCTGAGTTGATGTGTGACACAAGTGTTTTAAAATAGAAACGCTTACCCACAGCATATTCTCCATCATGGTGGAAAACCACCAGTGTGAACATTTCTTCATGGCTGATTTCGCAATGTCCCTTAATGAGTCATTAAAGGGGTAGTGAATATGTTTTTGGAGTTGTCAACTAAATGAACACAAGTTGCCAAATTGATGAAAATCAGCATTTCATGTGTTAAAACATCAACCTTGGAATGTCATATTATCACACTTCCCCCAGACTTTCAGTGGGAGTCTGTGAAACCGCTGTAGTCATTTTTAGATGTATGCTGATTGAGATGCATCATTCAGTGGGGTTTATGCAATTTTTTTTTCACGCAATGGTTCAAACTTGTGCTTTTAACGGATGTAGAAGCACCACCACTGCATTATTTCCGTTGATGATGACCACAAGCACTGGATTGTTTTTCATAGATGATCTTGCAACTTGGGTTGAAATGATAACATTTCCAGTGCATGCAAATTACAGGAGTTTCAGGAAATATGGTGGCTAATGTTAACAAACATAAAGGTCCAGTGTGTGACATTGGCAGAAATGAACTAAAATAGTCATAGGTATGTTTTTATTTGTGTATAATCACCTGAAAATAAGAATCGTTGTGTTTCTGTTACCTTAGAATGAACCGTTTATATCTACAAAATCTGATTAATTGCCTCAAGTGATGTCAATCTGTGGGTGTGGTGTTTGCAAGATGTCTGTAGCTCACTGCTCATCTCTGCTGGAGGCTTGTGGCTTGACAGCGAC